TTAGGACCAAACCAGAACTCAACCAGGACTTATGCTACATACAGAGAAAAGACCAGAACTGAACCAGGATCTAAACCAGGACTAAACCAGAACTAAACCAGGACTAAACCAGGTCCAACCCCAGGCTTACTCAGGTCTAATTAAGGCCTAATCCAGGTCTAACCAAGGTCTAGTCCAGGTCTTATTCGGGTCTAGACCAGGTCTAGTCCGGGCCTCGCTTGGGTCTAGACCAGGTCTAGTCCAGGCCTCGCTCGGGTCTAGACCAGGTCTAGTCCGGGCCTCGCTCGGGTCTAGACCAGGTCTAGTCCGGGTCTGGGTCTGCGTCGCCGTACAGAGTTGTAGAAACAGTCTTCGTTGATGATGGACGTCAGACTCTGGACGCTGTAATCTCTGTCCAATAAACCGCCGCCCAGCTCCACCAAGCTCCGCCTCCACTGCTTCAGGCCCCGCCCCGCCGCCTCCTCCCGCCGCTCCGATTGGTCGCCGAAGTGAAGCCGCTGCAGCTGGGCCTCTAACTGCTCGGTCTGGTCCCCGTCGTCGGCGTGGCGTGGACGGAGACGGTCGTCACGGAGACGGTCGTCACGGAGACGGTCGTCATGGGCGAAGGGGGCGTGGCCGTTTGAAGGCGGCCGCCACGCCGTCGAGCTCTGAGGAGGAGGAGGCGGGGCTCTGAGGACGGAGCGAAGAGTCTCCAGGACCGAGGACTTGGACTCGACGTCACTGTGAAACCAAAAACAGGATCAGGACCAGGACCAGGACCAGGACCAGGACCAGTTCAGCCAAGAAACCAAAATCTGATCTCAGTTTCACATTTATCCAACGTTTGGTGCAGAAAATAAACTTCTAGAACAAATCTCCTACAGCCCGAGAATCAAGAAAGACTCTAAACCCTGATCAAAAGTCCCAAAAGAAAAACTGTTTCCACAAAGACCCAGAGTAGAACCTCAGACCTGGAGCTGAGCTGGAACACGGTCTCCAGACGTTCCTCAGACCCCGAGCGCAGATGAACCAACTCAAACTCTGCATCTGCAACATAAACGAGAACATAAAACACCAGAAACTGAACCAGAACTGAACCAGGACTGAACCAGGACTGAACCAGGACTGAACCAGGACTGAACCAGGACTAAACCAGGACTAAACCAGGACTGAACCACCAGGACTGAACCAGGAACTGGAACCAGGACTAAACCCAGGACCAGGACTGAAACCAGGACTAAACCAGGACTGGACTAACCAGGACTGAAACCAGGACTAAACGAACCAGGACTGAACCAGACCAGGACTGAACCAGGACTAAACCAGGACTGAACCAGGACTGACCGGTGTTGTGGTGGTTCCTGACGTGAGCGGCCGACGCTGGGATCAACCACCTGAACCTGAACGGGTCCAAGTCTGAACGAGACACCTGAAGAACACAAACAAAGAACTTTTATTCAGGGTAAATCGAGACTAAACCAGGACTAAACTAGGACTAAACCAGGACTACATCAGGACTAAACCAGGCCTAAAAGCTCAAACTCACCAGTCTCTTCTTGACTTTAGGGTCTTTGTAAACCAGGATCACGGCCTGTTTGAAAACTGAGACAAAAAAAAAGAAAAAACATTAAACATTAAACAAATAAAAGATTTGAATTTTCTCTCTAAAGTTTTTGAGGAGTTTTAAATCAAATTCTCACCAAAAACACTGAGCTGAGGATCTTTCCTCATTCGCCCCAAAGTCGGAAAAGGATTTAACCAGAGAACTGAAGAGTGAAGCAACAAGTCTCCCATGGACAATTCAGACACCTGCAACACCACAGACATACTTCAACTACAAGTACTACTACTGCAAATACTACTACTACTACTGCAGATACTACTAATGTTATCACTACTATTACTGCATAAGGTTCTAAAATATATATGTAAACAGGTAAAACCCAGTAAAAATCTCAGTTTTATTTTGAACCAGATGAACAATGAAAATCTCAGTCCTCTCCCGCCCCCTACAGGCCGCAGGCCGCAGGTGCAACACACGAAATGTGTTCTAATTAATATGAGCGACCAGCAGAGGGCGACACTGCACCACACGACTGAAACCTGCACCATTAAAGACGGTGGACATGAATAAAATAAATAATTAAATAAATAAATAAATAAGGTATTTATATCATAGAAATTATTTTAAAAAATAAAATTACCAATACTTAATCTAGAAAGAATAAATACTTGAAACAGACGAGGAGAAAAAATATAAAAGGACGGGAAGTTGTTAAAAACTAGAAAATTAATTTGCTAATCTGTTTTATGTAAAATGAGTTGTAATGATGACATATCATTTCTACGACTAAAACCAAATTGATGTATTTATATTATATTAATATTTGTATTTATCCATATAAAATATAGATAAATACAATTTAAAATAAATCTGAAATTTAAGTAGAAGTGACTTAATTTAACCTAAACCTAGAATATGGTTAAAAATGTAAATACAGGTGATCCTTAAAACAAAAAC